TCGGCGCTCCGTCCCTCCACCCGCCCGGTCCCGCCGCTGCATCCCCCCGGCTGCCTGCAGCCCTGCTGTGCCCGGCCGGGGAGATGCACCTCTCTCGGCAAAACGCCCGCGCAGCCTTTTTCCCTCATCCCCTTTTCCCTCATCTACAGCCTGAGGTCGTCGAGCCGGAGCTGCCCCATGCTCCTCAGAAGGGGAGAGCCACTCTAGCAGAGGTTTGGGGCAAGGGGGAGAAGAGGGAGTTCGTTGCCCTACTGCTCTCTTCTGCTGTCGGAAAGACTAACAGCTCTTGCCCTCCTCGGTCCATCTACAGCTTCACGAGCAGTGACCCGAGAAGGGTAGGACCAGGCTCCTGTCACCCCCCAGCTGGAAAAGAGGTTTTCCAAGGAAAGCCACAGGCAGCCCATTACATAAGAGCAGAGAAATTCTGCAGCTCCCAGGACCGGAGGAAAGCAGCAGAGAAATGCATGCATTTGCAGCAGGGGAGCTGCCCACCAACTCTCCAGGCAGGAAGCTCTGCTCTCGCAGGAGCTTCAGCCAGGAGTGCTTGGGACAGCAGGTCTAGCCCTAGCAGTCCTGACAGCCCCTTGCAGGACAGGTGAGACAAAAGGTAGGAATGCTTTGCAGGAGCTTTGCACTTAGTTCATAAGACTAAGTCATAGAAATATAATTTAAAAAAAATTTAGATTGTTGCTTGGTGCCTCCCGCTCCACCAAATTCCTGCTATATCTTAGCTAGTTTTGTCAAGTAAAAATTGATTTATTTTGGGACTAGAGCAAGGACACTGTGCAAAGCCTGAGAGAGCAAGGTTCTTCCGTAAGAAACCTTTATTGAAACAGAAGGAAGCAAACTGGAAACTGGGGGAGCTCGAGACTATCAGTCAGCAGACTCTGCCTGCTCCAAGGCTAGACTAGCAGTGGCTGCACTCAGCTTGAAGTAATTATCAGCGTTTTGGAGAAAAACAGTTTATTCAGCAATCTCTTTCACTCTGACTCCCCTCCACCCTCCTTTCTATTTGGATGGGCAGGACATACACAAAAGGAGCTCATCTTTGACAGCTTTGGAGGACTTGTGTTTGGTGATAGAGCCAGTGATGAAGACTGGGAGCCGGAGGCCATCAAAGTCCTGAGGGAAGTGGGGAAACATGAACTTCCTCTAGGTAATGCAATAGGGAGACTGGGAGCATTGATTTGGAAACATACCTGACTAAAGTCAATGGCCAAGATTCGCAGCCTCCTTGGTAAAACCGGCCTAATTTTTAGATATTTGAATGAATGCTGCAAGCACATCATGCCTTTCAAATTCAGGCTGTTTTTATTTAGTGGCCTAGATATCCAGATCCGGAGGCGCTTGCAAATGTGGGCTGAAATTCCTACAGAGAGTAAGAAGAAATGGTTGAAGGTGGGAAATTCTGTACAAAAGGCCCTGTCAGTCTCCCACTTGCTCAGCTTAAAGCATTGCCTGTGATGGAAATCTACCTCAACAACCCCAGGAAATGCTAAGCTCCATTGGTACAAATTACAGCTCTTTGTCTATTTTATGATGCACTTATGCCAATGGCTGAGTGCTCCCAGTGAATAAAGTCTAATGTAAAGACTTCATTGAGCCTTTGTACTTACACACATGAGCGAGACCTTGAGTGAGAAATCAGAACCTGATTCCTCATTACTACACAAGCAGGCTTATAATAGCCTCTGACAGCATATGCCACTGTATTTAAGCTATGGGTGCTACCATGAGCAAAACCTCAGCACAGTGGACTTAGTGTAAGAAGCTTTTCCCAGAGCCCCAGGGTACTTGCTATTTGTTGCCTCTGTGGCTTATATGGTGTTGGTACCTGATCTAGGAGGGAGAAAGCTGCAGTCACACCTCTTGGTTGCCATTTCCTTGCCCAGTAAGTTCTCCACAGAGCAGATCACTGCTCAGCAAGGTGGCTGGATCTTTGTGTCGACCACGTGAAGAGTTCAGGAGGTTGGTGCAAGGAATCTGAATCACCCGAGGAGTGGGTCCCTCTAAATAAGGTGCCCCAAAGTAGCAAGGTTTTGTCTTGAGCTTCTCTGGGTCTTGGACAATTTTCATCCGTCTGGATAGAGCAGTAGAGCATTCAGATATGGCACTGCTAAAGCATGGGCTAAAGCATGAAAAAGTATCTGAGAGGCCTACTTTCAAAAAGGGGACAATGTTGGGAAAAAAGGAAGCTGAGTGTTAGCATGTCCATGAGACGTAGAAAATCTGTACAGAGTGTAAATAAAAATTACCAAAGGGCTGGAAGGATTGGCATAGATGCACTGACTAGGTACTGAAGAAGGTAGAGTCTGATGCCTGAGAGCCAGATTACCATACAAGTATTCGCAACGAGTAACTAAAGCTAAAAATAGTCCTATTGACATAGTGATGTTAAGGTACTGCAGTTTAATAGCTGGGTGGATATAATAACAATCAAGGATACTAAAAGACTTTAAACAGTGAAGAACCAGGGGAATAATTTAGTATAGCCACAAAGGTTATGGACGTTAGAGTAAATAAAATAGACTTGAGACTGACTGGCATATTGCAGTTTGTGTTCGTATGCTTAAATGCTTTTCTCCTTCAAAATAGAGTTGGGAAAAACTCCAGTTTGACTGTGAATTTAATTTTAGAAATGTGGATTTTAATAGAAAATCAAGTCTTAGCAGTTTGCCGTTGAGTTCTAAACTCCCTCCATCTGCAGGGCCTGCAGGATGCGGGAGCTGGACAGGGAGGGCAGGAGAGGGAAGAGAGAGTCAGGTGGCCCTGACTCGTATTGTGTCCCCTCATGCATAATACAAGAGGACAAGGGCACTGGAGAAAGGATATAAGAGTTTGGACAACGCTCCAAGAAAAGAGTGGTTGTTAGGGTGATTGAGTTTGCTCTTTTGGTCTTTTTGGTGATGCGTGATAGTTTTGCAAATAGTTGAGAAAACCCTGCCGTTTGCAGAAACAGAGCGTCTGAACCATTAAGGTGGCTCATGTCTTTTTGAGGGTTCGTCAGCTCTAGTAATACAGAGAGAACATGACCCAAAAACTTTGGAGATCTTATACAGAAACACCTGAGGTTAATGAAAAGCATAGAGAGTCAGGCAGATAAGTAAAGACATAGAAGGGAGTAGTGGAAATTACAGGAGTAGGTACTTAATAGTTTTTGAAACTCCTGTATAGGAGGAAGTGAATGTCAGATCCCTTACATATATTGATATATTTTCAATTGTTCATCCTTACTGTAAAAGTTTTATTCCTTAACCGGGTCTTGTTTCCTTAAGTTTCTACACAGCAGTTGGTGAAGTTGCTAAAATGAGTAACAGCCTATTCACATAAGTAAAGACTGCCAAGCTAGGGCTTTAAAATAGTTAATGTTTGTTGAATAAAATTAGTCCATGTTTCCACATATGAAAAGCAAGTATTGAAGAAAGTTCTGCATAAAACTATTATTTCATGCTACATTCACTGGATTGTTAGTCTCTCTTACAAAAAACAGTATTTTAGAATTGAAAAGCAAGAACTGTTAATTCAAAAATCAAGCTTTTGGGAGAGGGTTTGAAAAAAGGTTTTTTCTCATTATTTCTGAAAGCCTTTTTAAAGTTCATTTTTTCACCAAAAAAAGGAAGATTTCTTGGAAATTTTTTAGAAAGAAATAAGTAGTTCTTGCTCCTCTTGAGCTTTTTTTTGGTTGCAAAAATATTTTACTGTTTTCTAAGGTAATTCTCACTGCTACCTGATAAAAGTCTCTAATGATAACAAGGAGCTGCAAGATCTGTGACAAATAAGAGCATCATAAGATGCAAAATGTTAATATATTACATTTCTTGAGAGGACTGAGGAATTAAACGCTAAAAGAACACAGTTTGCAAAGATAGCTGGGAGCAGCAGGCAGTAAAAACTGCTAAGTAATGTGTTTTGTGTGGGCGGGGAGGTTAAGTTGTGGTTTTGTTTTCTTTTGTAAGAGAAAAAATATTGATTCAGCTGGAGAAAATGGAAATGACTGAGGAAGCCACCTCAAATGAGAGAAAAATCAAACAAATACGCTCTCATGTATGCTTCTCTTTGTCTTTTTTCTGCAAAAATCAGTACACATCTTTTCAGCTTCTGTTACTGGGCTTCCTATTATCATAAAAAGCTAACAATGAGTATTCATTTCTTCAGTCACCATATGTCTTTATTTTCATGTCATATTTCCTATTTGGAAAAGTACTTATCACTTTGAAAACAAAGGTTGCTGCTGCAATCCAGCTCTAGATGGAAATCTGTGGAACTGTAAATTCTACCTGCTGCTGTTTTTCTTCTTAAAGGCTCTCTATACATAGCCCATAACTGTCCTGTGGGCTTTCAAGCCAAC